TTTTTTTTATTTAAGGATGTTAACTTTCAAATTTTTATATTTAAGGATATTAACTTTTAATTCTTTATATTTAAATATATCAACTTTTAATTTTTTCTATTTAAAGATGTCAATTTTCAATCTTTTTTATTTAAGGATGTCATATTTTTTAACATTCTAGTTAAAAAATTTATTTGTCACGTTAGCATTATCATACAATTAAATAGAAAAAATTGAAAGTTGATATTTTTAAATTAAAAAAAAATTAAAAATTAATATTTTAAATAAAAAAATTAGCATTCTTATTTAGAATCTACTATAATTAACATTTTTAAATAAAAAAAGTATAAAGTTGGTATCCTTTTACACCTTTTCTTGCACAGGAGGAATTTATCTTTGGAGAGTCAATTGTAAAATTATAAAAGATAAAAATGAAAATATTAAACTGCATATTTAACTTTAAAATGTCAAAGAAGATGGATTTTGTTAGAGTTATAACATATAAAAAGAAGACTAAGACCTTTTATAAAAACTAAAATCATATGTCTTAAGTTTATAGAAATTACTTAAAATTTATGTGAATATACCCAAATTTTAGTTTTAAATAAAACTATTATTACAAAATAATAATATATATTAACAATAATAGTTAGGTGTTTTAGAGGATTTTTTTTTTTGTATATAAGAGGTTAACTGCACATTACAGAGGCTTAAACTATTGTTAATCAAGGTTTCTATGTTAGTGGGTATTAGATATCAACTTTGTCAAATGCTTATTTGGTAAAGATGTTTTAAGTAATTAACGTACCTAATTTTAGTCATTTATACAATGAAGATATGATTAGAGTTTGTGATCCCATGGTATTAGATAATTTTCAATGAACTTAATTATTTCCTTTGTATCCAAATTAATTCTAGTCATTTGCATGGTGTCACCCTTGGTTACGGGATAAAACAACTTACATGACATAAATCTTTAACAACTAATTAGCATTGTGATAACAATTAAAGATATTATAGAAATTATAAGTGATTCATTGTTTTATAATTCAGATTATTTTAAACTATAAAATAAAAACTCTTAAATGGGATGAAAGACCCAATATTAAAGGGTTTATCCCTTATTCAAGGGTTATTATTTTATAATTTAAAATAGTACAGATTATAAAACAAAATTTTCTATTAAAAATTACATTATTTATAACTGGAAACTTACCATTCACTTATAACCAAACTATATGTACAAAATAAAGAAAATTTTATATTTTCCTTAAATATTGTCAAAAAAAAAAGAGAGTAAAACATAATAATACAAATTAGTAATTTAAAAATTTCTTTGTAAAGATACTATGTTAATCATTTTTTTTTAACAAATTTGTAAGAAGTCGAAATAGAATTATTGCTTTGGAGAGAGGGAATGTATTTATATGTAACTTGATGCAACTAAACCGAAAGACCAAGAGCGATACCATGTTAACCATTAAAACCAAATTTAACTGAAATTAAATCAAAACCAAAAGACATAATCTCATAATTTCTCAAATAATTAATAAATTCTTATTTTATATTAAAAATCTTTTATTTTTTTTGTAAAAATTATATTTAAAATCTTAAGATCGTATTTATATTTTTACTAAGGATGGGATGCCAATTAAAAATTTTGTACGGTTTTCCTCTGGTCTATATACGTGGCTCTGCCAATGAGTGAGTAGTGGTCTGGGTCTACTACTCTATTAACAGCTGTTACCTTTAATCATTAAAAAAACAGCTGTCACTACTAGACATTAGCCACGTGGTGACAGTTCATCCAACGTGTTTTTCTTTTAATATCCGACATGTTTTTTTTTTTAAAAAAAAAAAATATCCGACATGTTTAGTGTTCCCCTTTTATTACGAATACTGTGTGGTGAATGGACAATTTCAAAATACAGTAATTTATCGCCTTTACTTGAAATTTATTACAAATTAATTATTAACAAAAAATTTTGAGGAGGTTTCAATAATGTTTATCAACTAAGACACAAAGTGTTATTTTAAAATTACGTTGTTTTATAATACATCATAGGATAATAATGTTTATCAATTGAATTTTTAGTAAATTAAGGAATTAAAAAGAAAAAATATCACAATATCACCTCATTTTATCAAAACACTACTTAAAAAAATAAATAATCCCATTCTTGATTTAAAAATAGATTGCTTTAATTTTTTTAATAAAAATTTATTTAAATGATGTAGTTTTATAGTGTTTTTTCTTTTAATTTTTTAAATATCTTGTTGATAAACACTTTTTTTTTATATATACTACATATTTTTACTAGTATATATATATATTTGATATATCGTGAATACATTGTGAATTATCACAGTAAAATTTTATAATAAAAAAAAACATTATGTATGAATCAACTCAATATAATGCACATTTTATCCAAATAAAAAGAAAAAGAAAACCATACATTGTGTGTAAATGTTTTTAACATATAACATATTTATCATTTTCTGGCTACCTAAGAACATAAGCTTGTGTCCATAAAAAATATGTTATATGAAAAGAGTTGTAAATACAATTATTGTAAACAAGACAGTTCCATGAATCTTTTTTAAGAATAATAGTTTTCGTTTCTCTGCAAGAAACATTATCTCTAGGATACAATGCCTACCTATTAAACTTCAATCACCTAAAGACAGTATACTCAAGGAAGAAAGAAAACGTAGAGGAAAGAAAAATAATATCTTTTGGTGCTATCTTATTAATTTATGTACACAAATTAGTGCCTTTTGCACCACTTTAAATAAACACAACTTTTGAAGAAAAACTAATGTCTCTCTTCAAATTTAATATTTAAATTTTAAATTCTACCATAAAACAAGACAACCATTACAAAATGGTTTCTTGCCTCTATACAAACCGTTTTATCTTCTTCTCTTTGTTTTACTTTTTACCTTTTGCTCCTATTTCCTCCTCTATCCCTTCCGGCCTTCCTGTTTCCTTATATATATATAGAGATATATTAAAATACTACATAAATATATTATATGTTATGTTTTATTATTATTAGAAAATATTGTATATATACTAATATATACAACAAAATAAATAAAAGAACATAAGAATGTACGTATGTACTGGTGAGTGGGACGATGGGAGAGCCAGAAAGAAGTGTACAAATTGTAGATGTGCATGACATGCCATACTATACATATAATAATTGTTTATTATATGAACTTTTTCTTTAAAAAAGAAAAAAACTTATGGTTATTAATTGGTGAGTTCAAATACTATGAATTCTGCGGTTTTCTTTTCTTTTCCTTTTTTTTTCTTTGTTTTTTTTTTTTTTGCGACTCGCATCTTGACATCGTATTGAAGGAAATGCTTGAGATAGAAATATAAGGAAATTTATACAAATGCTTGTTTAAGACAGAATATATCCCTTTTTACCAAAATAATACTATAGTTTGATGCAGAATATATATATTAATATATATATGCTTTTTTAAAAAAAATTTAAGGAATATAAATGCTTTTTTTAAGACAGAATATATACTCGTATAAAGTAAAGCAAATTAAATACAGAAGTAGAATATTTGTGAAACAAGAAGAAAGATTCTAGGGGGTTCATGTTTAAGTTCCTAAACTTGCATGGGTGTGACTTAGAAGCCCTTGAACTAAATTAAAGGTGGCAAATTAAACTCTTGAATTATGCGTGGATGGTAATTGGTAAATGAGCCATTTTCTAAGAGCCGATAGCATGTCAGGTCAACAGTTATCGATCTTTTGTTTAGGATATGGTTTTTTTTTTTTACAATAATAATTGATTAAAGATAGTGTTAGTATGTGTTAGTGAAAATACTCGAACCACTAAAGGGGTGTAGATCATTTGCTGTCCAAGAGTAGTGCGGTCACTTGGGTCACATGGGGTCTGCTTGCTTAAGATAGAGTTTAAATGGTAACTTTGTTTAATTAGATTTTTTGGTTCAAATAATTTATCTTTAAACTTTAAGACATTAAGATTAATTAATTATGATTTTGAATTTTATCAACATCTTAAAAGTTTCTTATTTTTTAATTTTCAAATTGTGAATTGTTCAAAAAAAATGATAACTTTATCTAGTATAATAATTTATTTAATACATTTATATGATGTGTAAAAAAAATCATAAAAATTATCTAAAAAATAATAATCTTTAAAAGAATTAAAGCAAATGTAAACATGATGATTTAGGTAGGAGAAATCATGCTACACCTAGGAGCCAGGTGGACTACCACATAGGGTTAATGGCGTCATATGATGTCTAAAGTCAAAAGGGAGCTTATTTGCCACTAATGCGTTGCTTTATGGGCCTTAAATTTATGATCCCCTTCTTAGTTGAGTGCCTTAAAAATCACAACCATAAAACCCAGGGACTTAAACACTTATTTGACCACATTAAAAAGGAATATTAAAAGAAGTTGTCGAACAATAAAACACATAAATAATGATAATGAATTATTCTTTGACTTTATGGAATTCATTGCCGGGAAAAGAAATAGGAATTCAGTGCACTTATTTTTTACGTCTAGAAAATTAATTTAACAATTTACAAATTCACCTTCATTTATAATCTTAAAACTTCAAGTACGGCACAATAACTTCAATAATTAAGAGGTTTTAAAATCGAGTTTTCTTATTATCTTACAACTTAATGTGATAAGAAAATTTTCAAATATTACAGGTGTTTTTAAGATAAATTATAATTAATGGCTTGTTAGGTTTTTAACGGAAATAACCACCATATCAGAAAACAGAATTAGAGACAAGCCTGTTTATTACAGTTAAGGGGGTTAGTTTCTGAGGGAAATCTACATCTACCACAGCAAGAACCAGCATCTCTCTCTGATGGATCCAACCAGTTTCCGCCACGTGTCACATCATTCTCTTCCCTAATTGGTCGAACGTCAAATCTTTGTCGTTTCCTACTGGCTGTGCTTTTCTTTCTCCAATGAGGCGCACTGCAGGCGATAATAGACCCCACGGCCCACACTGCCCCCCACCCCCCCTCAATACCATCTCCCGCCGTCGGATTCTGCTTCCCCACCACCCCCTCCCCTTCCCCGCTCACAATCATCCCTGCTGTCACTTTAACATCACTACATCTTCTCTCCCCCTTTCGCTTCCCTCATCTCCTCTCACTCTGTGTGTGTGTGTGTGTATGCTGTGCTTCCCAGCTATGCTTCGTCAACCTCTTATTATCGGTCGATCTACGGACCCGACCCGATTATTTCCTGCTTCGCAAAAGTTCTGCTCGACTGTACTCTGCTTTGTTGCAGATCGCGCTGGAGTTTTGGTTTGTTGTCCATTTTTCAGTTAAAGTCGAGTCGAAACGTTTCCCTTGCTTATCCAGATCGTTCTGGTAACCCTTTTTTTGGTTTTTCTTAATGATTTTTTGTATTTTTTTTTGAAGTTCAGTTTCTTTTAATGATTTCTATAGTTTTCCGATCTTCAGAGTTGGAAAGTTGCTAATTTTGAGCCGATCGTGGAGGACTGTGTCGGGATTTTGTATCGATTTCTTTGTTTTGGTTTTGGTTTTGGTTTGGTTTTGAAAGAGTAAAAGTTTTGTTATACTTCATCCATGGAGGAGAATAGAACGGCACCGTATGGCACGATGTCCGATGAGGTGCTGGGTTGCGTTATGCCGTACATAGAGGATCCTAAGGACCGTGACGCTGTGTCCTTGGTCTGTCGTCGGTGGTACGAGCTCGACGCGTTGACGAGGAAGCACATAACGATTGCGCTTTGTTACACGACGACCCCCGAGCGGCTTCGGAAGAGATTCGAACACCTTGAATCGCTGAAACTGAAGGGGAAGCCGAGGGCAGCTATGTTCAATTTGATACCGGACGATTGGGGTGGCTACGCGAAGCCGTGGGTGACTGAGATTGCGGAGAATTTCCTTGGCTTGAAAGAGCTGCATTTGCGACGGATGATTGTTCATGATTCAGATCTGGAGCTTCTTGCTAGGACTCGCGGTAGGGTTCTGCACGTCTTGAAAATTGATAAGTGCATGGGATTCTCTACTGATGGGTTATTACACGTGGCTCGCTATTGCAGGTGATTAAATTTTTAACCCCAGTTTTGGGTTTTGGATTTCTAAGCAGTAGGTTAGTGTTTCAAGTCCTAGAAAGTTGCTATTTTTGTTACATAATTTGGGTTTTAACTATGAATTTTTACCTCCTCTGTTACGATTATTTGATGTTAGTTTTACAAGTATTGGGTGCTTTTGTTTTTGATTGATTGGTTTTTATGGAGATAGAAATTGAATATTAGTATGGTTCTTTTTCAATTTATACTGCTTAGGTGTTGAAATTAAAACTTCAAATTTTTTTTGTGAATTTCACAGTTAAACTCTTTGTCTAGGTGGTCAGTTTAATTGGTTGATTGGGCGTTGTTGTTGAGATTGTTAGTGGATTGATGTGTTATGTGGTTTGACTGCAACTTTTACTGGAATTTGTTATGCACAACCTCTTTTTTTTTTTTTCTTTTTCTTTTTCTTTTTAGGGGTTGGTTTTGACATTTTCAGGTTTTTGTTGTTTGTTTTCAGCTTTCCCCTTTGTTTCTAAGCCTTACAATTGTTTGATTGTTAATTAAGCATGTTTAATCATCCACTCCCATCTTATTGCTTGTCAGATATAAGAGAGGAGAGAAAGTGTCTTATTTGCCATAATATGTTATGGAAATCCTACATGAAACAATGTGAAAAAAAGATGTAGTGCTGATCTGTACTTGGAACTTGGAAGAGCAAATGAGTTTTTGAAGTTGCTTGAATTTATATCACATCTTGAAACTTTGGAAGTTTGTTTTTTGGAGCATGGTTTAAGTACAAGACAAGAAGCAAGGCAGTAAAACTTTTGGTTCTATGATTCTCAAAGCTGTGATGCAATGTTGTGTGTCATATCAAATTATAAAACTTTACTGGGCAGCAAGGTAGTGCTTTTGAGTGCATAAGATATGTTTTTACTTGATCAATGAAATGCATCTTGTGTGGTCCATCTGGAAATTTTTAGTTGGGAGTTCTAGGGGGAAGAAAGATAGAATTACGGTTCTGCATGATCAAAATGGAAATTGTTAGCTGTGAGAAATTGATGAAAATGGGTTTAGTATTTTCATGTAAAATAATTAGCTATAATTTGTTGGTAAAACTAAGAATGATAAGATCAATTTAGTTATCTTGAATGGTGTTGAACTGTGTAATGAGCAGAATAATTCTGATTTGTTATGTAATTTTTATCTCATGGTGTGGGTGTGGCGGTTTACACTTTTTCTTTTTTCAGGAACTTGCTCAGTGTGTGTAGTGAAGCTCATTAAGTTGCATCTCCTCACTGTGGTCATGTACATTTTTCCTTATATATCGTATATATGAATTTAATGTTTTCATTTAGTAGTTCCATCTTTTAAGGTGCCATGAATATATTTCTCATCCTGTCAGTATCTAATGCTTTTGAAATTTCATCATACTAGCTGAAGATGAAGGTGCAGTAATGATTTAAGATTAGTCTTGCTCTCAGCCTGATTTTATGATTAACATTTCTATATACATGTTTTCTTCTGCAATCTGAAGTCATTAAAACTAATCTGTTTGTTATTGGGGATTTGTGAAAAGACCTTGTGGATTTAAGTTTTTGATCTATCATTATTTGTTTATATACAGGCAACTAAGAACCTTATTTCTGGAAGAGAGCTCAATCGTTGAGCATGATGGTGAATGGCTACATGAGCTTGCAGTGAACAACACTGTTCTTGAAATTTTAAATTTTTACATGACAGATCTTATTAAAGTCAGTTTTCAAGACCTTGAACTTATAGCGAGGAATTGTCGCTCCTTGGTCTCTGTGAAAATTAGTGATTGTGAAATCCTTGATCTTGTTGAATTCTTTCGTGCTGCAACAGCTTTAGAAGAATTTTGTGGTGGTTCTTTCCATAACAAGCAATCAGATGATGAACCAGATGATTACACTGTTGTACGATTCCCCCAAGGATTATGCCGTTTGGGTCTATCCTATATGGGAACAAATGAAATGCCAATAGTATTCCCATTTGCATATTTGCTCAGAAAATTGGATCTTTTATATTCAATGCTTGGCACAGAGGATCATTGTCTGTTAATTCAAAGATGCCCAAACTTAGAAGTTCTTGAGGTAGACTGACAGCTCTAGTCTTAATTATTTTGCAGTCATTAGTATCTTTTTTCCTCCCAGCTTTCTGCCTGAATACCCCTACCTTGTGGTGCTCCAAGTTAGTCTTTGTCTTTATGATTCTTCTTTTATGAACGGTTAACATTTTATGCTTGACTTGTTTTTTGGAATTGTTACTCAAAATTCAGCACACTTCTCATGCATTTCCCTTGTTTTCTGGTTTCAAATGGTACAATCTGATTTTTTTTCACTTTCAACTTTTCCTTTTTCCCTTTGATATTGCAAATTGACCCCTAGTATTTAGATTTAAGTAGTATTGACTTTGGTATTTGGGCAAAAGGAGAATTGAATTCATAGGGTAGTATAGAATGTCAAAGTGCAAAGAAATACATTGCAAATTGATCCCTAGTATTTAGATTTAAGTAGTATTGACTTTGGTATTTGGATAAAAGGAGAATTGAATTCATAGGGCAGTATAGTATGTCAAAGTGCAAAGAAATGTATGCCTCTTTTTATTCTTTAAATGTGTGTTTCTGATGTATTTTCTGCATGTGCAGTCTAGGAATGTTATTGGAGATAGAGGGTTACAAGTTCTTGCTGAGAGTTGCAAGAGACTCAAGAGGCTTAGGATTGAGCGAGGTGAAGATGAGCAGGGAATGGAGGATGAAGAAGGTGTGGTTACACACACAGGATTAATTGCTTTGGCTCAGGGCTGCCTTGAATTAGAACACATGGCTGTTTATGTTTCTGATATCACTAATGCTGCTTTGGAATTTATCGGGAATTCCTTGAAAAACCTCTGTGATTTTCGCTTAGTGTTGCTTGAACAAGAGGAGAGGATAACAGACTTGCCTCTTGACAATGGAGTCCGGACTTTGTTGATAGGCTGTGAAAAGCTTAGAAGGTTTGCCCTGTATCTCAGACCTGGTGGTTTGACTGATTTGGGGCTCGGTTATATTGGGCAATACAGCCCAAATATAAAGTATATGCTTCTGGGTCATGTTGGGGAGACAGATGCAGGGCTTTTGCAGTTCTCTAGGGGATGCCTTAGCCTGCAGAAATTAGAAATGAGGGGCTGTTGCTTCAGTGAGGATGCAATAGCAGCTGCCGTGTTGCAACTTAGATCTTTGAGGTATTTGTGGGTGCAAGGGTATAAAGCAACATCTGGGGGTCGAGAGCTTATGGCAATGTCTCGTCCATATTGGAATATCGAGTTTATTCCAGCTAGACGATTTATTGTGAACGGTGATGCTGAAGAAGAGAATGTTTTAGTCGAGCATCCAGCCCATGTGCTGGCATATTATTCTCTTGCTGGACCAAGAACAGATTTTCCAGAGAGTGTTATTCCTTTGGATCCGGTGTCCCCTCGTCATCGGCTACCATTAGTTCCCACGTAAAGCTGTACATACAACCGTTTTCGAAGCTGTGCTGTCCATAGGTTCATGCCCCTTCCCCCTTATTCTTTAGAGTTTTTCAATTTGATTTCTCGTTTTCTATTATTTTCTGAGCTTTGTTATGTGTAATAAACTGTTTTTTCTTCTGTAATTTGAAAGCACTTGCTTCTTGTTGGGTTACTCTTTGTGGCAAGTACGTCTTAATATTTGATTCCTTCCTTGCAATCCTGATGGTTCATTGTGATTTTAATCTTCTTATAAGGACTGGAAGAGTATAGTTTTTTCAGTTTGGATAAGCAAAAGAATGCTATCATGTACAACTATATAACCTTAGGATGTGGAGTTTTTTTCCCTGTTACGTATCTTAAGGTAGTGGTTGTCCGAGTTTGCAATCTTTGTTTGCTAGTAAGGACCAAAAAATCTATTTTGTGAAGCCTGGAAATCCCCTTTCAAAATTATCTAATTCGTACACTTGGAAGATACATAGCGTGCTTTATTTTGTTGAATGGATATGGTAATGACTAATAAGACAAGGAAGAACCAAAAGAATGAAATTTAGCTAGAAAACTAGTTACACAAGAAAGATTTAAAAAATTAAAAATAAAAAATATTTTCATAACACCATAAACCAGTGTTTTCAGATAATGTTTCTATCAGCATCGAAGCATCAAGCATTGCTTGGGGGTTAATGAAACGCTAGACATCAAGAAGGTAAAAAATCTCTTGCAGTTGTAGAGATGATGATGCCCTAACCTGAGTTGAGAATTGAACTTACATGAAGAATCCTTCTATAAGACTGCAGAACAGATATGCTAATGCCTAATGCTGTTTTCATGCTAACTTGATACAATAACTGCTCTCGGTCTGAAGAAGTTAGCACTCTGCCTTTTTGGTATGACATCCTGATGTAGCTCTTGTTTCTTATGATACCGCAGATGAACCATCGCAGACATTCAACAATAGTTTTCAGCTTTTCCAGAAGGATTATGTCAAATTCACAGAACAATGAGCAACTGATAAATGCATTTCAATAAGCAAGTTGGAGTTGTGGTCGGTCGGTGTAAACTGTGAAGTGTATTGGACTTGTAGAAGAAGTATTTTTTTAAGCACCATTAATATGATTGTGTTATTTGTTCTCTTGAAAAGAAGTGCATGTCTGGTTTGATATAAACAATCTATTAACATGTAATTGAAAAACGGCCTTTATCTAGGCTTGGACTTACTGAGTAAATATGTACACCAGAACCATGTTCTAATTATGTTCCTGATTTTGCCTTGTGCTCGAGAGGTTCTGCAGCAGAGATACTGTTCCTTGATCCCTCCTCTTTTTTTTTTGGTTGGCCCGTAATCAGTTGCAAACTGGGGGAGATCTCTACCATCTTGGTTTTCAGACCTTTTACCCTTTGGATGCTTGAAAACCAGTCTGACCAAATTCAATCGTTTACTGCAGAACACCATGTATTAGTAGAACTCTATGATTTTTGAAATGTTAGGTGGTCCAAAGCAGAATTTGTCAATTAATATGCCTTTTCAAAGCTGGCTGCCAAAGACCAAAGTGACAGTAGTAATTGAAGTAGGACTGTAGGAGAAAGTGCTATGATCTAGAAGACTAAAAAATCAATATTCGACTGCTGTAATCATTTATCCACATTCTGATCATAATTTCAACAGAAATGAATCATCATTTTTTGGATCCTCGTATCATAATGGTGGGGTGACTCCAATGAAAGGAAAAAATGTCAACCCTAATCTTGACTTGAGCTTGTCATTTTCATACTGATATATACTCCCTTACTGTCCATCTTCTGATATTAGCTAGCTTTAGCCTAGTGGCTTCGGTTCTTTTTACAGCTTTTTCTCGGAACTTTTCCTTTTAATTTATTTTATTATCTATTGATTTGTTTTGCATAAATGTGGAAGCCATGATCATATAAAGAACTTTTTCCCAACTGATAACATCGACCCAACTTTATCATCTTGCATGAGATCTGACGACAGAAAGTTTTTCATTCAAGATCATCTTTAAGCAATGTAGGCCAAGTTGGAAATTGGAACATGATCTTGCTATGTCTTGAGGATTTGTATATAAATTCAGGCTTATGCATGAAGTTCTTCAAAAGGAATTTTAAGGTGAATTATTGGCTTGTTGTTTCCAAAAGATTAAAAAAGGAGTAGAGATATATCATGTATCACCAAAAAAGCACATGGTGCAACCTTCTTAAAGGATTTGATATATCAGAAACTAGAATAAAGTGGCAAGAGTGCTTTCTTATGCAACTTGCAGAAAGTCTGCTTCTCTTTAAAAAAAATATAGGTAAAGCAGATGGTTTTTGTCATTTACCCAAAAAAGTTATAATAAAAAATAAAATCATATTGCTCTTCTTGTTGCTTTGTTACTTTTTAAACACTAAAAAATTTGTGTTCAGAAATTGAAAGATACAGAGTGACGTGGGGTGGGCACTAGAGCTTTTTCATGGTACAGAGGTGGATAGTAGAACCCACAATACAGCAATTAAAAAGAGAGAAAACAGTAAGAGCATATTAACAAACATTATACTTTTCTTTCATCTTCTTCACATTTGGAATGCCTAATTGCCTGTCTATGGGATGGTGGTCTTTATCAACCCATTTATTTAGGTCCCACTGAAGTGAAGTCTTCTCTGAAGATTTATGGTTTTACCTTATCTGAAAATTTGTTTAGTTTCGTTGTTGTTTCCCATTTTTTGTTTGGCTCTTTAATATTTAGTAATCAATACAATATATGATGGTAACCAGGTCAAGATGAAAGTGGTTACAGTATGGCAAAGTTCTAAGCACGGTTGGGATTCCTTCTTTGGTTCTGAAGTAAACTTGAGAACCACCGAAAGGGATGATTCTTCTAGAGACTAGCCAAAGATGGCTACTATGCTGATGAAACAGGTCTTGCCACAATTGACAATTGGGTTGGCCGAAAGGGAAATATCAAAGTAAAGGGAAGAACTGGATTGGATCATAAAAAGATGATTAGGAAAAAGAAATGTAAAACCATACTGGATCTTTCAAATATTCTAAGCATGTGATGCTCGGTTAAGTGGAATGCACACTCAGTGCCGACTAAGCTCAGTCAACTTGGCCATATTGGATGCTAAAGCTAGAAGAAATGGCGGAAAGGGTCCTGAGACATGGCAAGCAACCAGATACTCAGGAATTTTGAGAAAACAGTTTTCACTGAGTTAGCCAATTAGGCCACATCAGCCAATGACATGGCAGAAAATGTTCCATGTGTCAAAGCATAAAGTGCTCTTAGATCGTCCTCCCCCACCCCCTCCAAAGGATCCAGCATGGCAAATCCGTCTTTCCCCATCACCAATGTGAGAGTTCTCTCTTTTGGATTTTTGGGGGTCAAGAACTTGAAAATTAACAAAAGCTGGTGGCATGATTCAAAACCTCAAAGGAACATAGTTGTCTGATAAAATGCACAGAACTTGAACATTTGGCCAAACTTAAGTCTATAGTTTCAACTTCACAGTTACAAAACGATATTCAGACAACAATTTCATTACACAAACATGAAAAAAAAGCAGACATGGAATACTACAGCATTATTCCATCTTCTTTGAAAAGTTTTAATATTCCCTAGAACAGCGGATTTATGGCGCATATCATCCACACAGATTGGATTAGAACACTGAATTCTGGGGTTTGATGTGATCTCCATGATAAGCAATGCCATAAAGACTTTGCGCCTGAAGTCTAATGTCAAAAGGAGATGACACAAACCGGCTTCCAAGACTTGAATTGAAAACCATGCCTGATCCATTATTGAGGCGGCTCCAATCATGGCCTACTTTTGTCATGCTGGCCAACTTCTGCTGCAATGCAAGCGTATCAATTTGATCTGATGATTGAACTTTATGATAGTCAGAAAAACAAGTGTTTGTGAGATTGACTGTTGTGATGTCATGGATGCTTGGTCTCTTCTTGTCCTTCCCTCCTGAGAGCTGCCTCTGATAATATTTCTGAGCATGACTCGCCACCTGAGTAGGAGTCTTGGACACCACAAAATTCCTGGAAATGTTTCTCCAATCCCCTTTTCCATACTTCAGAAGGCCCAGCAGAAATCTCCTGCACACAAGCACCCATGTCAAGAACAAAAACATATATGAATGATTGAAAACTACAGACCAATTCTGTTTTACCTGTGTTCATCTTCTGTCCATGGAACTCCCTTTTTCCTCTCCTGATCAGGGTTCCTAGCCACCGCCGCCGGTTTCTTCCTGTAGGCATCATAATCCCGGTTATTAACAAGCTCCAGTGCCAAGGATGAGCTATAGTAACCTTGGATAGGAAACCGCCCTGCTTCTATCTCACACACATC